ACAGTAAACAGACCTGAAAAGGAAGGAGAAGAGGGGGAGGGAGAGAGGAGGAGGGAAGAAGGAGAGCAGGAAACATACATATGCTTGCGTTATGGGGACTCATTTTAACTAACTAGGACAAATAGAGTTTTATCTCCCAGAATTCAAGGAATGAAGTCTAGGCAGTTAGTTCTCTTCTTTTGAGTCTTGCCTAATCCTTGCAACACACTCTCTGAGCCCTTTGTACTTTGTGACTTTGTGTGGCCATCAGCGCTGCTAGGTCCTGGCTACTCTCTCTGGTCACTCTCCCTTTCCCACGTGGCCTATACTAACTCATTTCCATTTGCAAACATAGAGAACACGTTGGATGCAGTTTTATAAACCAACAGAGCCTCGAGAGGTAAGAGATCCAGACATTCTCAACAGTATCTTACTATTGACATTTATTTAAAATACTATCTATTTTTGTATCCTTTATATAAAGATTCCCCTTCCCAGGTATCATTATAATATCATGTCTTTTTAGACTAAAGTTGCTCTTAACAATTACAATTATCATTCAGTTTTCACACTCAAAGTGTGATAAGTTGTTGCCAGTTGTTACAGTCTGGCCAAGAAATCCTTTGTGCTATTAGCACTACCTGCACCCCACCCCCATGCACACTCCACGACTCTGAAAACTTTCATTGTTTGAGGTCAGCTGCAGGATATTCTAGGCCCACCCTGATCTTTTTTTGCTCCTTGGACATGGAATTGGTTACCTTCTAACAGAGTCCTGATTCCTTTTGTGTAGAATTATATTAGAATACATGACCTGGGTACTTAGAATTAGGCAAAAATAATAATAACCTTCTGCCATCATTTTTTAAGTTACAGATCTGGAAAAGAAATGCCTTTTGAACATGTCATTGCTCACTTTTCAAAATGATTCTTTTTTTTTAAATCCTAGACAGACAGCAATCATGAAAACTTGACTTCACAGAGAAAGAAAATGTTTTCTGATTTCCAAAAGCTCCCCATTAATCATTAAGAAGTCCACAAACAATAAATGTTGGAGAGGGTGTGAAGGAAAGGGAACCCTCCTACACTGGGAATATAGTTTGGTGCAGCCACTATGGAAAATGGTATGGAGATTCTTCAAAAAACTAAAAATAGACTTACCATATGATCCAGCAATGGGTCCAATCCAACACTCCTGGGCATATATCAAGAAAAGACAAAAACTCTAACTCAAAAAGATACTTGCACCCCAATGTTCATAGCAGCACTATTTATATTGGCCAAAATTTGGAAACAACCTAAATGTACATCAACAGATGACTGGAAAAAGAAGTTGTGGTATATTTATACAATGGAATACTACTCAGCCATAAAAAGAATAAAATAACGCCATTTGAAGAAACATGGATGGACCTGGAGATCATCATTCTAAGTGAAGTAAGCCAGAAAGGGAAAGAAAAATACCATATGATATCACTCATATGTGGAATCTAAAAAAAGAAAAGAAAAGAAAAGAAAAAAAGGAAGACACTAATGAACTCATCTACAACACAGAAACAGACTTGCAGACATAGTAAACTGTCTTATGGTTACTGGGGGAAAGAGGGTAGGAAGGGAAAAATTGGGGAGTTTGAGATTTGTAAATAATAATCATTATATATAAAAATAGATTTCAAAAAATTTCTTCTGTATAGCACAGGGAACTATATTCAATATCTTGTAATAACCTACATGAAAAAGAATATGAAAATGAATATATGTATATATATGCATGACTGAAACATTATGCTGTACACCAGAAATTGACACAGTATAACTGACTATACTTCAATAAAAATTTTAAAATAAAAAAATAAGGAGCGGGCTGAGAACAGACTGTTCAAAGAAACTACAGTATAAAAAAGTGGATACAGAATCTCACCTAAGGGGTGTTTTCACTCCAGGAGTCAAAGAAGAGCCTTCTAAGTAAGTTTGGGGGAGGGGAGAAGAGAGCCGGCTGGGGAGGGAGAGATGGGCAGGTGGTGAGCTCTGAAGGTCTTCTCTTACCCCTCCCCCCTCTAGTTGAATATGGAGAAAGGAGACCAAGTCTTAAAGGAGCAAAATAGTCTGGTGGTTGGGGGCAGGGGCAGATCAAACATGCGGCTCCCTCTGCTTCCTGCACTAAGCTGGACCTCGGGAAGGTCTAGGGGCTCCTACCAAGGAGAACAGTGTGCCAGGGCTGAGGGCCAAGCCTGGGGCAGCTGCAGCATCCAGAGGTGCCCAAGGTCCCAGGGGATAACTCAGGTGCTGACTCCCTCGGCAGGGTCCAAGGGGACTCTGAGAAGAGGGACCAAGGCAGGACTTTAAAGCCAGAGCTTGAATGTGAGCAGCAACCAGAACTCCAGGACGGCAGGGCCAGCAAGCACGAGGCGAGGGCAAGCAAGCATGGGGCGTGGGGCTGCTGGGCTTCCAGGAGGAGGCGTAAGCAGGCCCTGAATTCCTGAAGCCACATCAATAAGGTACACACTGGTGACCCAGACACAGGCCCAGACCATGGACCACCCTGTCTCTGACCTCTTGGGAAAATTCCTTCAGAAAGGAGACATCTGATGGACGAGTCTTAAGTCTGAAGAGTCTTAAGTATTTGCAAAAATCTATTTGAAATCAAGAGACTGATTACCTTTAATCAGTAAGTTACCACCTCCCGTAACTCAGTTCCTACCCTCAGGGACCAGAGGCAGAGCAAGATGAGGCAAACGTACATCTGGCTGGACCACCGCCTCGTCCCGCCAGTGCTTTATCCTGTGTGTAAGTCTTGCCTCCCTGCTGACTGGCCCTTTGTGAAGGACGGGACAGAGACAAGGAGCCAGGCGACCCATGGCCCTTGGACGGTGGCTCGCCCTGTACTTTGGACTCTTGGCCTCTAGAGGGCGCCCCGAAGCCTCAACTCGCCAGCCTCGTGGAAACCCGTGGTCCAAGCCCGTTTCAGCTTAAAATCTGATCATAGCCTCACCAGTGTTTTGTTTCAGGCTTTACTTTTTTAAGCTGTGTTGCAATGAGGTGGGATTTTTTCCCTCTCTCTTACAAACGTAAGTTATTATAGTTTGAATGTGGTTTCTAAATACTCATGTCCCATCCCACGCACCCTGGAGATACTCGTGTCTCTACACACAAAGGCATGTGTGCCCGGGCCCGCCTATAAGAGTGACTCTGGAAGGCCGGCTCCGCGACACATGGTCGTACTCTAGGACATCTGGGGACAGCACCCTTTCATTTCAAGAGCTAAATGTGCTCAGAACCCCTCAATTGTGAGCTTCTATTCCAAGGATGAGAGCAGAACTGGCCTTTACAGACACTCCCTCCCAAGTCTCCATTTTCTGGATTTTCCCCCTTCCTTTCAGCCCCTCTCCAGAAGTACTTAGGTTTAATGTATAGGAGTATTTGCTATTCAGAAGGAGAAATAGGAAGTAAAGCAGTGCTGACCCCCAAGAGATGACTCCCTCCTGCATCCTCAGGCATCAGAGAGCCGGGGAAGCTGTGACCAGGTGATGCCACCTTCCCAGGGCACCTCGAGTCTCCCCATCCTGGCCACTGCCTTCCCCAACTGCACTGCCCAAGGGACTCAGCAGTCACCCGGGGGTTTAGGCAAATACCTGAACAGCTGGAATAGCTGATCGTGAGGAGGGCCACTAACATTGGGGAGCATCAAAGAGCTTGTACTGGGAAGGCTATTCTAATACGTGGAGTAGATACTTCTGTCTCCACTTGATAGCTTAAGAAACAGAGATATTGGGGGAGCAGAGGGTATAGCTCAGTGGTACAGCACATGCTTAGCATGCTCGAGTTCAATCCCCACTACCTCTGTTAAAATAAACCTGTTTATTACCCCCTCCCAAATTTTTTAATTAAAAAAAAGAATAGAAATAGAGACTCAGAAAAGTCAAGTAAGTTGCAGGTGCACAGTAAGGAACAGAGCTAGCTATAACCCTGAGCTGGCCCCAGAGCTCTCATTTTAACTCTTTTTTCCCAACACCATTTGCTGAAGAGACTGTCTTTGCTCCATTGTATGTTCTTGCCTCCTAGGACACTGATTCTGGATGGGAGAGCAGTGTGTCAGTGAAAAACTACAAATTCTGGTCTCATCCACAGCTAGAAATGTCCAGTTCTGGCCCAGGAGCTAAAGCAGAAGTTGTTAGGTGTTGTGTCTGGGAAAATTCTTGGAAAGGGGGCTGCCATGTGCCTCTTGCTCTTGATGCTTCCCCTTTTTTTCTGCCTGGAATGGAAACACTGTGTGGAAAGTGGAGCAGCCACTGTGGGTCCACCGGGAGACCAGCTTGAGACCAAAATGCACTTGCTAAAGAGGAATGAGCAGAGAGATGGTGTGCGAGTCCCCCAAGGCATCATGGAAATGCTCTATCAACACTCAACTCCCCAGCATCAGCCTTTTTGATTTGTGAGGAAAAAAAATGTTTCTGATTATTAAGAATAAATCCCCAAAGCTGTATTTCTGCTTCCTGGTGCATAGTTTTGGGCCCACCAATGGGAATTTTCCTTTCGGTCTTGCCTTGATGCTCCAACAATCCTTCCAAACTCGTCAAAGAACATTAAGAGAGAGAAAGAAACAAAAAAGGAGGTTAACATCTCCTGAGTTTGCAGAAGTTCAATGGCTTATTGCTGGTTCTACCTCTGCAGTCTTAAAGACAATTGTGTTTTTTAATATTGAAAAAAAAAGGGCAACTATATTCAATATCTTGTAGTAACCTATAATGAAAAAGAATATGGAAAAGAATATATATGTACATGTATGACTGAATCACTATGCTGTACGCCAGAAATGGACACATTATAACTGATTATACTTTAATAAAAAATAAAAAATTCAATCCCAGTACCTCCTCTAAAAATAAATAAATAAATCACATTACCTTCCCCCCAAAATAAAATAAAATAAAATATTTTTTAAAAGGAAGGAAGGAAGAGAAAGAAAAAGAGAGAAAGAGAAAGAAAGAAGGAAAGAAAGAAAGAAGGAAGGAAGGAAGGAAGGAAAGAAAGAAAGAAAGAAAGAAAGAAAGAAAGAAAGAAAGAAAGAAAGAAAGAAAGAAAGAAAATCTTTCTCCAAAAAGCATCTTACCACCATCCCTAGAATGCAGAAATAGCACAGGCTGTACAATTTACACTCTTACGTGGTCTTGTTGCATCTGGGACTCCCAGCTCTAGGCGAAAGGATAGCTAAACCAGTGTCCTTCGTTCCTTCACTAAGGGACAACTGTCTCTTGTAGGTTCCAGCATCACAACATCCAGCAGTTGTGAGGCTATCAGTGGGGAGAGGTGTGCTCCTGCCTTAGGGCCCCCAGACACATCACTGCATAAACCGAGCCTTAGCTTGAGGTCCTTCCCATTTTAAAATATAGGACCAGCCCCTGAGCCCAACTGTACACTGAACTGTATGGTGTATAGAATTCTTTTGTTATTTTGAAATTCTTTCCAAACTTGGAGAGAATAAATCAGCAATCTGTCTGCCAATCATATGTAATAAATGTATTATTTTGTCAAAAAATAAAAAATAAAAAACAAAAATACGGAACCAAGACTGCTGGGTAAAATGAATACATTTGTCCCTGCTCAGGAGAAGTGAGAGAGCTTAGCATTTGGGGAGGGGAGTGGACAATACATAAGAAATGGCCAAACCCCACAAATTCAGTGAATGCTAATGAATACTGTGCAAACTGACTGAGGGTGTTCATTGCTGTGTGTGCCTGGATCAGAGCTTAACTTCTCTGTGCTTCCTTTTCCTCCCTCTCTAAAATGAAGATTGTAGTAGTACCTGCCTCAAAAGGCTGATGGGAGGAGTAAATGAAATAATACATTCTAGCGTGCTTGACACAGTGTCTAGTACCTAATGAGCACTCCACAAATATTGTGATATTATTATGCCCTCAACACAAACCTGGTCACACAGGACGGGTTTGAATGGCCACATCCACAGAGGATAGGAGTTGGTAAACTCTCTAGGGATCCCCCAGCTTCTTCCTTTGGGGCCTTTTCCTCCACTTAAGTTTCAACTCCCACAGAAAACCCTGCTCTCAGGAAAGGAACCAGGCAGTCCCATCTGGGGACACTCCAGAGGAAGGGGACTTCCATAATGTGCACGTATAAAGCCCCATGTCTGCCCCGTTTGGATTATGTGACCATCCTTCAGTCCCATCACTGTTGTCGCCCTGGGCCATCAGCCCATTGCCACGGGGCATGAGATCGTGGCTCCATTGGGAAGGAGTGACATGGACTGTGGGAGAGGGTCCATCTCCTCCTGGAGAACTGGGCAGTGTTACCAGGGATGTGTGTTTAAGGGAGGCAGTGGGTGGCCAGGCTTTGGTGGGACAAACAAACATGAATTCTTTGACTGTAATCCCAGGCAGCGACCAGCAGAGGGCAATGTTGTGATTTGCTGGGATTTGTGGGGTCCTTGCCTACAGACGAGCCAGGAGAAGCCAAATTTATTCCCAGTTGCGGCAATTCTGTTGACAGCAATGTGGGGTGAGTGGCAAGGTCGGGAAGAGTGGCAGAATGATTCCTCCCTGGTCTCCAGCACGGCCCAGCCCAGCCAGCCTGCCCAGGAGTAGGGCGCGGGCTGGCTGAGAACCACAGATCCACAGTTCTTCTGCCCGATCCAGTCTCCACTTACATTTTCCCCAGAGACATTTCCTGGTTCTCTGCCCACTATTTTAGCAGCTGGGAATTCTGCAACGTCTCTGGAAAATACCTGCGGTAGATCTGTGAGACGCTACAAAACACAGGCCTTTACAGAGCACCTAGGATACAAGAGGCGAGTCCAGGGTGTGGCTGTCCTGCCAGGGTTCAGAGTGTTGACCCTGCAGAGAGGCCTGGATTTAACCTGCCCGAACTACCATTGTTGTGTGTGCTTGGGTCGATCGCTTAACTTCTCTGTCTTTCTGTTTCCTCCCTCTAAAATGTAGCTAGTAGTAGTAACTGCCTAAAAAGGCTGATGTGAGGAATAAATGAAATAATACATTCTAGCATGCTTGGCACAGTGTCTAGTACTTAATAAGCATTCCACAAATATATTATGCCTCCAACACAAACCCATACATGAATACGCTATTATCTGACTGCACATAAATCAAGTCTTGCAGATATATGCAGCTGGCATCTTTAGGCACCAACACTCCATCGGTAATGGACAGAAACTTTTCAGTGTCTTGCGGGCTTCCCGTCTCCTTAAGCAACAGCGAGCAAACTTCTCCTATTGACCTGGAGTCATAGGAGCATCCTTCAGTGTAATAAGTTAATACAATGACTTTACGGACTCTGGCTGTCGAGGGGAACTTTTCTGGGGCTTCTTCTTTTTTTTTTTTTTAATTGAAGTATGGTTGATTTACAATTTATATTCGTTTCAGGCATACCAAGGGCTTATTTCTTGGTTCTCTCTTGTGTTTGAGACGTGAACTAGCCAAGTAAATGACACGGAGGTAAGCAAGGCAGCGCCTGTCTCTCGCGATGGATGCGAGAACAGATGGAGCTGTGCAGACCCACGCTGCACACATATGTAGAGGCATCTCTGACTTACAACGCTTCCCACCCTCCACTTTTGAACGTGCATTGCTCTCTGATTTGCTTTGTAAGCAAACAAACAAAACTCCAAGGTCAAAATATCTTCTGTGAATCCAGAAGAGGAGAAGAGGGTAGGGCAAGAAACTAAGGAAAGGAGAAAGCCTTTAGGACAGAGATTTTCAACTTCAGTTGCACATCGAAGTCACCTGGAGACCTTAATATATGTATGTATATGCATGACTGGGACATTGCGCTGTACACCAGAAATTGACACATCATCATTTACTGTACTTCAATAAAAAAAAAATCACCTGGGGATCTTTCTTTTCCTGCGTTTTTTTAAATTGAAGTATACAATCTGTCATTTCTGGTGTACGACATAATGTTTCAGTCATACATATACATACATATATTCATTTTCATATGCTTTTTCATTATAGGTTGCTTTCAAATATTGAATATAGTTCCCTGTGCTATACAGTAGGAACTTCTTTATCTTTTTTACATGTAGTACTTAGTATCTGCAAATCTCAGACTCTGAGAGCTTTGGAAAATGCCCACACCCTACCCCAGAGAGACCCAGAGTTGTCTGGTCTGGGGTGGGTGGTGGGGGATACGGGGAGGAGGGGGCTGGCCTTGGGGTTTTTGTTTTGTTTTGTTTTGTGTTTTTGAAGCTCCCCAGGGGATTCTAGTGTCCAGGTAGGGTTGGCAATCCTGGTTTAGGACTTAGCCTCAGCCTAAACCTGTCATTTCCCTCTACTTTTCTACACTGCTGGGCAGTCTATGAATTAGAGATCTCTTTAAGCCAGTATCTTCAAGTCAAAAGTTTACTTCTTCGAGGGAAGTCAGTTGATTACTTAATGTTAATTTGTTCCTCATGCTCAGCTGAGTTCCAGGTCAGTGAAAGAAGGGCAGTTGGAGAATGTTGGGAAAGGTACCTGGTTGGGTGCCCCCAATACCAGCAATTCTAGAGAACAAGACAGTGCTGGCAACTTGTCGGCTCCAATCATTAAACCCCACCCTCCGTCTATGGTTGCATGGAGCAGCCAAGGTTGGGGACCACTGGTCTAGGGTGAAGAAGTCAGAAAGCAGACTGGTACTGATGCAGGAAAAAATGGATGTGGGGCAGGAGGAGGGCTGTGTCCCAGGTCTCGGTGGAGCCCCTGGGATGTGCCCCGCCAGGTGTGGGTCATTGGCTTCGTGCAGGAAAGAATTCAAGAGCGAGCCACAGTTGAGTAAATGTAGATTTATTTAGAGAGATACATACTCCACTGGCGGAGTGCAGGCTGTCTCAGAAGGCAAAAGAAAGGCCACAAGGTGTGGAGTTGGGTGCTCAGTAGATACACACTCCATAGACAGAGTGCGGGGCCGTCTCTGAAGAGGAGGGAGCGAGAGAGGTGATGGGGCGCGGTGTTGCCAGTTTTTATGGGCTCAGTAGCTTCACACACCTACAAGTGGGAGGACTATTCCAACTGCCCTGGTGAAGGGGCATCACCCACTGTTTGACCTTTTATAGTTATCCTTGGGACTGTCACGGCACCTGTGGGTATGTTATTCACCATGCTAATATGTTACAATGAACATATAATGAAGCTCAAGATCTACTAGAAGTCAAATCTCCCGCCATCTGAATCATCAAGGTCTACTGGGAGATGAATCTTCCATTTTGGTGTTAATTGCTGTCGTTCCTTGAATAGCTGTGCCCTTCCCCCTTCTGTCCTGTCTCAGTACAAGAACAGAGATGAAAAGATATTGTCAGAAAGGAAAAACTTTTCCTCTAGCCTCTTAGGTTTACTTGACCTAAATTATTGGGGGCCTGTGATTAAATCGACAAAATACAGATTAGCAAGGGAAAAGACAGATTTTGATCATGTATATACAAGAGTTCACCAAAAAATGTGATTCAAAGAGGTAGCTGGGCTTGTGTACAATTTAACAGAGGGAGGAGACACGGAGAAGGGCACTTGTGGACAAATAACTTTTTGGAAAGATACATGGGCTCCCAGGAGAACAGATGGGAGATAAGATAGTCTAGGGACAATATATGTTTACAAGTGACTTCTAGTTCCTGGTGATAAGAGTCCAGGTTCCCAGGTTGCTCCAGGGAGGGGACTGAAGACAAGAGAGTCTGAAGGGTCCAAAGAATATGCCATGCCAAGATATGTCACTTTGACATAAGGCTTATTTTGAGCTGAAAACAACTGAAAATTAACAGACACGAAGAAAAACTCTGCCTGCCCCTCTCTACCAGGAGGGTGGAGTGAGTCTTCATCCCCTGAGACTCTAGAGCCTAATCGCCCGGGAGAAGGCACAGGAGGAATCCAAGTAACGTGTAATTTACAGTCGTAAATTCGGTACCCCTGCAACATGAAACCCTTCACCTGTTTGAGACCTGAGGCTGTGCTCAGGGAAAATGAAGGAAAACTTTGTCTTTCCCGCTGACTCCTTCAATTTGGCAGCCCTGGGGCCATGAAACAGCTTTAGTGGCCACGCCTGTTTTCCCTGCCACCAAGTATTACTGACCAGAGGCACATCCAAGTCAAAGCAACAAACTGCCTTCAAACAATCTGATAAAATAACCATTTGGAACAAGAAAGAAAGAGAGAGAGAAAGAGAGAGAGAGAGGGAGAAAGAAAGGAAGGAAGAGAGAAAGAAAGAAAAGGAAAAAGAAAGAAAGAAAGAAAGAAAGAAAGAAAGAAAGAAAGAAAGAAAGAAAGAAAGAAAGAAAGAAAGAAATGAAGGAAGGAAGGAAAGGAAAGGAAGGAAGGAAAGGAAAGGAAGAGAGAAATTTCCAAAAGAAAGTCTGGGAAAAAGAAAGTTTGGAACACTCTACATCTGTGGTAAGGAAAACCTCTTTATACCTACAAATAAATATGTTGATGTATAAATACACTTACATCATAAATTACACTTAGAACTTAGAAGCTGGAGTTTGGGGCCCCTTTTAGCCCCCACTGTGTTCTTGTCACCCCACCAACCCTGCAGAACATACTAGTGGGTCTTCAGACAGAAAAAGATGGAGAACAATGGCTTCTTTGATAATCAGAGTTAATCACTTAGACCCGCGGTTCCCAGTGTATGGGAGGTAGAATTAGAGGAGCATTTTGCAAGGAGTCTAGGAATCCACATACAAACACATATTTCTCTTATCAAGAAGCCATCATGTGGCATCTCAATAGATGCAGAGAAAGCTTTTGATAAAATTCAACACCTACTTATGATAAAAGCTCTCCAGAAAGTGGGCATAGAAGGAACATACCTCAACCTAAAAAAGCCCATATATGACAAACCCACAGCTGATGTCATACTCAATGGTGAAAAGCTGAAAGCATTTCCTCTAAGATCAGGAACAAGACAAGGATGCCCACTCCTGCCACTTTTATTCAACATAGTTTTGGAAATCTAAACTGCAGCAATCAGAGAAGAAAAAGAAATAAAAGAAATCCAAACTGGAAAAGAAAAAGGAAAACTGTCACTGTTTGCAGATGATATGATACCATACATAGAAAATCCTAAAGACAGTACTAGAGCTCATCACTGAATTCGGTAAAGTTGCAGGTTACATAATTAATATATAGAAATCAGTTGCATTTCTGTGTGCTAACAATGAAATACAAAAAAAAAAGAAAGAAGGAAAGAAGGAAAGAAAGAAAGAAAGAAAGAAAGAAAGAAAGAAAGAAAGAAAGAAAGAAAGAAAGAAAGAAAGAAAGAAAACAATCCCATTTACCATTGCATCAAAAAGAATAAAACACCTAGGAATAAACCTACCCAAGGAGGCAAAGGACTTATACTTGGAAAACTTTAAGACACTGATGATAGAAATTGAAGACGACACAGATAGAAAGATACACTATGTCCTTGGATTGGAAGAATCAATATTGTTAAAATGGCCATACTATACAAGGCAATATAAAGATTCAATGCAATCCATATCAAGCTACCGATGACATTTTTCACAGAACTGGAACAAAAAAAATGTTAAAATTTGTATAGAAACACAGAAGACAACAAATAGCCAAAAAAATCTTGAGAAAAAAAGAATAGCGCTTAGGGAAGCATTTTCCCTGACTTCAGACTATACTACAAAGCTACAGTGATCAAAACAGTATGGTACTGGGACAAAAACAGACACATAAATCAATGGAACATGACAGAAAATCCAGAAATAAACCTACACACTTACAGTTAATTAATCCACAACAAAGGAGGCAAGAATATCTAATGGAGAAAAGACAGTGTCTTCAATAAGTGGTGCTGGGAAAATTGGACAGCTATCTGTAAAAAAATGAAATTAGAATATTCTTTAACACCATATACAAAAATAAACTCTAGATGCATTAAAGATCTAAATGTAAGACCAGATACTATAAAACTTCTACAGGAAAATATAGGCAGATCACTCTTGGATATAAATCACAGCAATTTTTTTTTTCAAACCAGCTCCTAGAGTAATGGAAATAAAAGCAAAAATAAACAAATGGGACTTAAGTAAACTTAAAAGCTTTTGCACAGCTAAGGATACCACCAACAAAACAAAGAGACAACCTATGGAATGGGAGAAAATATTTGCAAATGAAGTGACCAACAAGGGACTAATTTCTGAAATATACAAACAGCTCATATGCCTTTTTTGTTTGTTTAGTCTTTATTTCATAATCATAAACTTAACTTTGCAATCCAGCTAAACTTGGAGTGGGATAAGGAAAATATGGAACCCAAAGAACTGCAGTGACAGCACAAAGATTATAGGATATTTCCAGCAGATGAGGCGAAGGGATGCTCTCCTGAGCTAACAGAAGGAATGGTCTGGTGGTTAAGATGAAACCCAAGTCAAATTTATTGTATTTGTCCACAGTCAGCAATGGTGATCTTCTTGCTTGCCATTCTTGGACCCAAAGCACTCTATGGCTTCCACAACATTCATGCCCTTTTTCACCTTGCCAAAGACCACATGCTTGCCATCCAACCACTCAGTCTTGGCAGTGCAGATGAAAAACTGGGAACCGTTTGTGTTGGGGTCAGCATTTGCCGTGGACAATATGCCAGGACCCGTATGCTTCAGGATGAAGTTCTCATCATCAAATTTCTCCCCATAGATGGACTTGCTGCCAGTGCTGTTATGGTGTGTGAAGTTACCACCCTGGCACATAGATCCGGGAATTATTCTGTGAAAGCAGGAGCCTTCATAACCAAACCCTCTCTCTCCAGTGCTCAGAGCATGAAAGTTTTCTGCTGTCTTTGGAAACTTGTCTGCAAACAGCTCAAAGGAAACATGGCCTGAGGGCTCACTGTCTACAGCAAAGTCGAAGAACACGGTGGGGTTGACCATGGCAGGGCAGTGTGGAAGGCTCCAGGGTGGCGGCCGTGTCTGCAAGGCCTCATATGCCTTAACATAAAAAAAAAAAAAAAAAGCAACCCAATTAAAAAATGAGCAGAAGACCTAAACAGACAATTCTGCAAAGAAGACATCCAGATGGCCAACAGGCACATGAAAAAACATGCCCAATGTCGCTAATTATTAGAGAAATGCAAATCAGAACTGCAATGAGGTATCACCTCACACCT